ATAGATAGATAGATATAGATATATATAGATATATACATAATTTCCAACTTTATGGGTAACTCAATTTTAACATATTTACACAAGAATTAGATAATTTCTCATAGAACACAATGTGAACTAAACATTTACATAACAAGGCATAAAGTATTAGTTTCACATAAAGTGTCTTGAGTTTACAATATAAATCAAAATGCTTGTGTAATTTAATGTGTTCTTGTGGCTCTTAAAACACATTTAGCATATTAAAACTGGAGTACCAGCATTTTGTTCCTCAAATCATCTCATGTCACAAAGATGGAAAGAAAGGGCAAAATATTCATTATATGACTTGTAAAAAAAGGCAGAGTTCTTTAAGAATTTATATTTTTAATATGAACATTTCTTTGATAATTCTGTATGAAAATGGGAATAAAAACCGTTGATCTACATTTAACAATAAATCAACTGGAACATAAAAAACCTTTATGACAGAAAGAAAAGAAAACAACAGCATGAAACTATTGTGTACCCTTTAAAAGAGCTTTGCTTTCTCACGAGGTGAATAGAGACCAACACTGTGTTGCTAAAAAGACTCATGCAGAGGACATGCTCAGGGTTTATGTTCCAAGTTTGTGTGAGTGAATAAAGGGCAGCTTTCTTTGTAAAGTCACAGTGGTTTTTACACTGATAAATAACAATATACAGAGGGAACCCTACACAAGTGTAAATTTCTAATCTTTAGGTTGAATTCCAAACATCTGAGCTCCACGATTAATGTTTYGAAAACAAAACGGCCTCCCACATGATGCGAAGAAACCTATAAAACTTAAAAAGGCATCAGTTTTTGAATTGTTTTCCCCTTCACACAACTTTTGTACAGCAAAGTTGTTTGTCTTCTTTCAGATAAAGCAGAGACTTGTTCAGCTCATTCCAAGCCAAGTTGCAGACTCCCACACTCACTGACTGAACCAATTCATGTCGTCGTAGGGAACGGGACACAAATGACCTCAGCCGCACCGTTAAACAAAGCTTCCTTTGCCACGTTTCATCACTTATCAGACGACAACAACAGCAGTAAGTCATTTCTGTTCCAGCTACTGGMCACACTCTGTCTCTGCTCGCAGGTTTCAGATTATTGTTTTAAAAAGGGGATTTCTATCATTGTTGCATATCGAACAAAATGATATCATCAAGACAAATCACATTTTTCAATATGTAGACAACTCTGATTTGATTCTGTGGTGGAAATTTGCATTTACTACATATTATTTCAAATACAGGGATTTAAGAAAGAAGACTAAAACATCCAAAAAAATCAATTTCTTGCACCTCATAGAAATATAT